TTACAAATTTACCACAGGATGTCTAGTGGGGGACTTGTGGGAGGGAAAACTTTATGATTAGAGCCTCGGGCATAAAATGATCAAACAAACAAGAAAATTTTATTAAACAAAATTAAGGTTTTGAAACAAAGTGGGTCAGGAAATGTGGTCTTTCATGTAGATGTTAACTTATTTACGGTACTTTAATTAACTATAAGATGTCTCACTGTAACACAGTGTTACAATCAGAGCTTCTCTTAACCTCTCTTTACTCAAAATCAGTTGTTAAACTTCAGTTTCTGTTACTTAATTATGGCAGTTAAATACTTTTAACATCATACAGTTTCCTTCACCGATTAATACTTTGGTTCATGAGTGAGGGGCACTTTTCCTCAGTTGCCCACTCTCTCAGCAATCCTGCACCTGAGGTATTCCAAACGGTATAACAGACCCTTACCCCTTGTTACTGGGCTGGGAGTCTTCTGGACTAGACGAACTCTCCCATCCTGGCTATACTGAGACCCAGGGAGCCTGTATTCTCACAGGTTCTACCTCTCCCGGTTCAGTCACAACCCTCCCAGAAGACTCCGGCCTGTATACCTTTCCCAGACCCTCAACCCAGTCTCCCTACCCAGGTCTCCTCAGTATGGATGTTTAACTTAACTCAGAACCAGTTCTCCCTCAATCAAATCCTATCCTACTCCCTATCTCTCCTCTTAAATCCAGCCCTATCTCTTAACCCAGGCATAGGCAAACTCAGCCCTCCAGATGTTTTGAGACTACAACTCCCATCATCCCTAGCTAACAGGACCAGTGGTCAGGGATGATGGGAGTTGTAGTCCCAAAACATCTGGAGGGCCGAGTTTGCCTATGCCTCTCTTAACCTGAACCTTAGCCCTATCTAACTCTCTCCCTCAGAAACGGCTCCTTTTATTCTCCCTCCCAAAGTGCTACTCCTCCCCCTTCTGTGACGAGCTGACTTTCTAGCCAATCAGAGAGAGGTGCCAGCATTCTGGTGGAATTTCAGGGGGACTGCATCACCAGACTCTGGTCTGGCTCTGCTGGCCGTCACAAGACCCCTCCAGGAGAACAACGAAAACCCTAATTGTCACCAGCAAGCAAAAGAGGGGGAGTGAGAGGAAAGAATAATCAATGGATAAGAATCCTAATGAGGGTCAAGTTTCCAAAAGAACTTGACTATCCAGTTTATTTTGGAATCTGTGGTTGATTATCTGATTGCAGTGCATGCAGTTGTTGTGAGCATTCACACAATGGGAATAGTTAGTTCCATTAATGCTATAATGAGGTGTGTTTTTTACAGGGTTTGTTAATTCAGCATAATAGTCACTGAGCACTGAGCAATACAAGAACAATGGGCACATATGTGATATATTGATGTTGTATGTGGATAGATCCAGCTCAGACAGTTGCATTTTTCTTCCTGACTGCAGGAGGCATTGTGCTGTAATACAAAGTCTGAATACTGAAGAGCCTGTCTGCCTGGAACACGTGCCTCTTCAGAAAAAAATCAAATTTTCCTTCCCCTTCCACTGAGCCAAGGAAAGTTCCGAGCAGTCTTTTCAGGAAGAGTTAGCACTGGGAACTTCTCATTTGAAAATCTGTCTCTTTACAAACTTTCTTAATCTTGTTGCTCCCATTAATCTGTAGATCCAATCTTGTATGCTAGAGACACAAATGAACGATAGATCTACCCTGCTCCTTTGTAGGGAATATATAGCTATTTACAGCAACATGCAAAGGTCATGCTGGTTCCTGTTCCTTTAGCTGTTGTATTTGAAATAGAGAATTTTAACAGTCCCCCCCACCCCATTCCTGCATAATGTGGCACTTGCTGAAATCCCCTTCCATTCCTTGGAAGGGGTATGGATCTCACAATCTTGACTCTATGCATGCTGGCCGAAGGACAGTGCCCCTTCCTGCTCCAGGCACAGGTGAATGTCATGGGTGTAAACCCCAAATGGTTGTATGAATTACCAGACATGGGATGCTGGCTGGGTGCTTCAGGCTTTTGTGTGCATATACACTGTTTCAAAGCTTGACTGCATACATGCTTGATGGGTGATGGGTAGAAATAGACCATCCATCTTTCTTTCTTTCTTTCTTTCTTTCTTTCTTTCTTTCTTTCTTTCTTTCTTTCTCTCTCTTTCTCTCTCTCTCTCTCTCTCTCTCTCACACACACACACACAGCATGACATGTAGGGAAAATTTTGTGAAGAGAATTTTGTGCATGTCTCCACTTGCAGGCAGATTCTTGATCTGTTTCATATCTGATCCAGATTTTTAATTCAGATTTAAGTGCACACATGAGAGGCCGAAAGGCCCAGCAGGCCGGGCATTTATCCTTGCTCTGGGCACAAGGCCAAGTGCTGCTATTGGTCAGTTGGTCCTGCACCCAGGGGAACGCCCTCTAAATTCCTGCCACCATTGTCCAATTCGGCAGCAGCAGGACGATCCGGCCTGCAATAAGCTGGTTCACTGTGGAGGCCTGGGACCCACCGGCAAAGCTGCTCACCCGAGAAGGGCAAATGGAGGCTACAACTTCCCCTCCAGCCAAGACTAGGCTTACCCAATGCCTATCCGCCAATCAAGGCGTTATTGAGTAAAGAAAATTCAGTTATTTTCTGTTTGTTTTTCCTGGCACTATCAAAGCTCACATATGGCAACCTTTGCTTGCATACACACAACTGCGCAATTACGGCTCCCATACAGAGCACTGCATTCTTCTTCTCTACCAGCTTTCAAAAGAGAGCCCCTGATTTATGTCTTGTTCTCTTTTGAAAGGCAACCCATGTTCTTCACCTGAGATGCTTGCAAAGAAGCTTTCTGGAGTGGCAAAGGCTGCTCCTTACTCACGACGACACATTTTGTTGCTTGTCAGGGATCCCCGAAGCCTTCTTAATGCCAGGCTGGTAGTATTTTCTGAGGTGGTTTTCACCATCCCTGAAACTGCTTTTTCCATACTGGCGAGAGGGGGGCATGAATTAGTCCTGCTTTTAAGCATTAATATCTCCTGTTAGTTCATGTGCTTCATTGTGCAGTAGTAAATTGCACACAATTCTGTTTTAGCTTCAGGGTTTTTAAAGAATTAAAATACGATAAATCAAAATAGGAATCTCTGCTTTCAAATTCCGCTTATATAGGGTTATATAGGGTTGCTGTCATGGCGTGTGGGATTTACTTCTAAGTTAGCATGCAAAAGTTTATATGGCAATGTCTGGCAGCTTCCTGGAAAGTAACTTAAGATGTTCTCCTGTTGTTGTTGGCATCCGTCTGTCTCAAGAGACAATGGAGGGTACCTCCAAAGGTGAAGTCAAACCACTAGAGAATCACAGCGCCTGCTGTGGCTGCAGAGACAGGTAAATCGTAACTGCTGCCCCCTGCATTGTTTTTGTTGCATTCCCACCACCCAGACAACAGGACCCTGCTCTTGGCCTTGCATGGTCCAAAGGAAAGCAGAGCAATACGTTTGGCACCAGTTTGACTACAGGAGTTGCTGGAAGGAAGTGTACAAGACACCAACTGTCCAACCGTCTTAGGGAATCCACTCTGGATTTGTATAGGGTTTACTCTTTGTTTTGTTTCTTCCCAAGATGTCCCACAAGGGTGCAGACAGTGCTTTTTCTCAGGGGGGACTCAAGGGGATGCAGTAGCAGCACCTCTATTTGTTATTAGAAAGTGTGGAACTTACTGTAACAACTTCATGGCGAGTACCTCTCTTTCTAGAAAAAAGCACTGGGTGCAGGTAATGTGGGGAGATGGTTGTGTGCTTTCTAGGATGTGCTATTAGTTTGCATGGTGAACCAGCAAGACCAAACAGGTTTTGTCAGGTGCGAACCAAGAGTCAGATGTGAAGATATCCCAGAGACTCCTCTATCGTGACAGAGGTTCTCCTGCAGACAAATCCATGTGATATTTCAAAACTACAGAACTAAGTTTGAGTAATTAGGAGAAAAATATTATGATCCTCAAAAGATTTTTTTGGAGTGGTGGTGGTGGAATCAACATGTGGACTGGTGGCTTTCCTTTGGGAGTTCTGGCTTCACAATCCATTTCTAATGTGGACTTGGACAAGTAGCATTCTCAGCTCTAGGACCCTGTTTGTAAAGCGGGGTAGGTATGATATGTGGAAACGGCCTTGTGAGAGAATATACCTTGTAGGGCAAGGCAAAAAATAAATAGTAGGATTATTGTGGGAACAACAAGTAGCTGTGGAATGATTGTGTGATCTGGGCAAGATGACCAGTGTATGGCAGCATGGTTTGCTGCACCCCAAGTGGGGCAAGCCCACATGTGCATGCTGCATTCTTATTACACTGAGCCAGCAGTCACCACACCCACATATTACACAATGGAAACAACCGGTATTGACAATTTCTGTGCGAATCATCACAACTGGACAGCATTTCCACCCATCTTGCAAACCACAGTGAAAGCATCAAATCAAAAGCCCAGTAAACTGTGTTACTAGCAGCCATCCCATAGCCACTAAAAGTTCCAAGCAGAAGAGATAGAAAGCTTCTCTCAAAGGCACGGTGGTTAGGAATGTAACTGGCAGGCTCAAATTAAAATTCTGCCTCCAACTCCATCAAGTGATTTTTCAGGGATTGGTTTTATACTGAGCAATGTATCTGTAATATTATAAAAAATAAATACTGTGTAGAAACATATACATACCCCCCAAAAAATGCCCTGTCATTTAGTGAGGGAGGTTGTGGTAAAGGCCCAGAATTTTATAACAAAGTCTCTTGATATTGGTATGGGCTTTATATATGGACAAAAGTTTCCTGCAGGATATCTTGTAAAATGGCTGTCTTTCATCACTTTTGTCACAGTTGACAGTAGTCTGTTCCCATTTTGCAAACTGACTGTGCAAGATCTATCAAGTAGGTAAAAGGTAAAAGCCACCTGGTCCCCTTATAACAAGTAGGCAAATTACATGAACCAACATCTGCATTTCTTATATTTTTAATGAACTTCCTAAACTTGCACAAAAATAGTTCCACATCTGTATGCCCTTTAATTTCAAGCGGCACTTTTTAAAAATGGAAAATAAACAAATTCAGTGTTAACAGGACCTTAGATTAACAGCCTTGATTAAAAGCAATAAATAGAGATAAATACAATGGTTCATTGCAACGAGTGGTTTCACAGAAATCTGCAAAATGCTAGGTAAGATGTTGCTTCAGGAGATCAGAAGAACATCAAAGAAATAGAAGCACAGTAATACACAAAATAAATATTATTTTCAGTTGATTTTTAATATTAATTAATTCTTTTCAATATGCCCATTGCCCACTTGAGTTTATTTTAGGCGAACATCGCAACTAGAGAATGGGGAATGTATCACAGCATGACTGAAAGTCCATAAACCAAGAATGAAGGTTTGTGCCATCAGGCTGACACTCCAGGGTCCTGTAACCAGACCTCTTGGTCCATGCTGTGATGTGGAACTCCATGCCTTGTCATGAAATCTGTGGACAGGCTTCTTATATTTAGTTGCAGGAGAGGCCCCCTTTGTTAAGAGAGATGCTGCCAGAAAGAGCTGCATGCTTTGCAAGCCAGTCGTTTTCAGAGTGGGATCAGGGCCAGCCCAAGACACTTTGGCACCTGAGAGGGACAAATCCTCTTGTTAGCAATGCACCAAGAAGCTCAATGTAAGCTCCACTGAAATGAACAGGAGCTGCACAAGAACATGACTGTACTTCTGCACACCTCATTTTGGTTTCAACGCAGCTTGCACAGGAAGTTTTCACAACAGCTTTGTTCCATGAGTTCAACACCCCACATCTGCTGCCCTCAGGCAGCCACCTCATTTTGCCTCACCTCTGGATGTGATGGACCAGAAGAACGTATCATTTTGAGTTTGTTCTTTTCCTATAGGGCTCCTGCTATTCCGATATGACATTCACTTTGCAGGTAATATTTGAGCCATGGTCATGAATATGCACTGAACCAGCTGTTTCATCTTCTCAATCATCCAAAGCCGAGAGAGGAATCGCCTTTCTTATGTAGGAAACAGTCAGCTGTGTAGAGCTTTAGGTCTCTACATTCAGATGCCTCTCACCTTTTGACAGATGAACCTCATGTTCAAGGGTATATATGCGACAGAGCTCCCTTTGGGTTTGGTCCAGCTCAGGACAGCAACGAGCTCTGAAGACGTATATCTGGCTCTCAGGAAAGAACCTGCATTTCTTGGCTTCTTGCAATGACTGTACTGCCAACATTCAAAGTGAGCTGGAGGGGGTGTGTAGATCCTGAACATTCTTCTTCAGAATTCAAATCGTACAAAATTACAGCAGCCCTTCGTACCATCAAAACAAGTGATATTTGAAATGTCATGGCCTCCTGTGGCTTTCTACAGCAGTCCACTTCTTTGAGTTTCATATGTGATTGTTTTTGGACAGGTACGCTATAAGCGCCACGGCAACCCCCACATAGATGCCTGTTCCAATAGTGATGGACAGCACAGCCAGGAAGAGGGCTCGTCGTGAACTGGAGCTTGCATGGTGGAAGTCCCCTTTAGCAATGGCTTTGTTTGTCTGTAGGAGGATGAAAAGCTCACTTTAGTAAACATGGATATGGTGCACTCTTCAACTTTAAAGAGGAAAATTGATTTTTTAGACTTCTTTTTTTTTTAGTATACTGTATAGTTTGGGCTTTTAAAGCTGTTGCTAAGGTAGAAATAGCCAAACACTACAAAGTCAGATCCATTCCATCAAGCACAGGAGGATAAAGGAGTGCCCCGTCACAGACAAACTGGTGCACTGAATAGGACTTTCTGAGTTAGTAATTTAGTTGTCTTTGCCACCTGGCATCCATTTTTGGCATAAACAGATGAGCCACATTAAGCTGCAGCCCCACTTCTTAAATGTCAAATAATTTTGACATCTCTTTTACAATAATGTGCTTTATCCTGCATTGCCTGGATGCTTGATTCAGTGGGTCTGTTTTCTTTTTAGGTGGTTCTTCAACTCCTGTCAACTGCATTTTAATGAACACAAATGGTGAAAGGCAATTACACTGCAGCTGTTCTGTTTTAAAATTACTGATGAGTTAATTTGCGATATTATAACTGAGCATCTAAATGATAACACTTAAACTATTATAATGTTGAGACAAGCATGTCTAAATAAACATGGTGTGTTAAATTATTGCTCGGCTAATAAAGGCCAAGTGAAACCCTTTTCTATGTGCCATGCTAGGTCATAACAGAACACCTGCTTTGCATGCAGAATGCCATAGGTTTAAGCTTTCAAATCTTCAGTGGTATACACACCCACACACCCCGTATTTTTCCATGTAAAGGATGCCCCCATGTATAAGACAACCCCTATTTTTTTAAATCCAAAATGAAGAAATCAATATTTTAAACATGTTGTAGCATGCTGTAACTAGAGTAGGTCATTCTGCCATGGTTAATGGCAAAATCTTGCCTGTGAGTCCTAGAAAACCTACCCCGTCTTGCAGGCTTTTCCACCTGGCCTGGGAGGGCAAGACCCTGACTGACTCCAGCTACAAAAGCTGAGCCTGCTGAACAGACACTTGGGCTGGGGAATTGCTTTTGTCACGTTTGTAATTATGTAAATCGTTTCATGTTGTAAGCCGTCTTGAGCATGGTTTTAACTACAGAAAGGCAGCATACAAATTAAATGATGATGATGAAGAAGAATATCTGACACCAGAGACATCTATCTCACATGACCTTGAAGAACGACACGGCCACCCCCCAAAATCAACCCTCCTTTGCTGTCCTGCAGGACACCTCTGCAGCGGCTAAGAGTTCCAGCACTTTCCTTTCTGGAGAAAAAAAACAAAAAATACTTGGCCAGACTGTGGTTGGCATCAAGATGACTGATGAGCCAATTTAACACAGTCTTCAGGCTGAAATGTTTTCAGTAGCAGGCCAAGAGCTTTAATAAATAAAAAGCAGGCACAAAACACAAACGGAATTCTAAGTTGGGGGGTTCCGCTCAGCAGCAGCACAGGGCAAGCCAGCTTGTTCAAGAGCAGAGAGAATTAAAGATAACAGTGCAGACTTCCTTGTAAAGGTCTTGGATCCTTCAGCACCGATCATCTTTAAATGTCTATTGCCTAGAGCATCCTCACTCATTAGCCTAGGATGTCTCCACTATTTTAGTTTTCTCTGCAGTAATGTATTTGTAATAGCACTGTACAAGTGGCAGAATGGCAAGCCTGACAGCAGTTCATAGGGGCTGGTGACATTTATATGATCATATGTGCCATGTGCTTGTGAAAATGGGTATATTTTTAGGGATTTTGCAACAGAAGGAAGCCAGTTGCTTAAATCAGTCTATAAAGTGACTGTCAAATTCACAGTAGCAAGAATGCACATTTGAATGACTTCCTTCCACCCTCTAATTTTATTTCTAGAGTGCTGAAACAAAGTAGGTGCTCTATATAAAACACAAGTCAGTGTAAGATGAGAGACACTCAATGGAAGGAGAGAGGTGGGAAATAATAAAGGTGTCAGGTGAGAGAACAAAAATTTGAGTTTCATAGTGCAATCTATACATGTGTACTGAGAAGTAAGCTCCATTGAATTCAGTGTGGCTCCTTCCCAGGTAAGCGGGGACTAGATCACAGCCTTGCACAGGCATTTAAAAATAGCAGTGGAAGGAACCAGGTGGATTCTCAGTTCTATCCTGCATTCACAATATTGGCAGGTGGGGAAAATGCACTAAAGAGCCTCAATGCTTTTTTGATCTCTCATCAAAAATGGTCTTGAATGCATTCTAGGATCAAAAGCCCTTCAGTCTGAAAGAAAAATTAAGGTACTTACAAATTCAAATGCACCAAGAAGTATAGACATTATACATTAAAGTGCCCCCATTAACTTCTGCCCCATGTAAGCAATAACCACATCCTGAATATTGTGTTTGCTTTCAACTTATGCTTCATGCACCCGCATTTCCCCTTGTTCTTTCAGTCCCAATTCTCTTCTTTTGAAGGGTTGAAACTTCCAGAGATATATCAAATTTTAATAAGCTAAGCTTTAGAATTCTAAATTATTACTTCTGACAACCAACCTCTTGCATGATGAGCTTATCTTAAATACAATCTTGTGCATATTTAGCCTAAAGTAAAGCCATCCAAGCACCTGCGCTGATAATTTATCTCCTCTATTTTATGAAATGGAAAGAACTCCTGAGTACAGTTGATAAGGCAAGCTTGAAATATCAAACCAGGGAGGGGAATAGTTGCTACACAGAAATAAAAGTGGAGGCGCAAGGTCATCCTGCCCCCTACACACTCAGCTCTGTCTGCCCAGTCCATGGATGGTTTCATCATGCCCTCAGCATAAACAGGGCAGCGCATGCCTGCACACACTGCTAACTGGGTTAACAGAATTCTACATTACCTCATGTGACAAATAGAAGGCAGCAATTCCCAGTGGCCAGAAACAGCAGAGCATGGAGAACACGCTGAGTCCAAGATGGTCCCTGGGCGGCATCATAAGGAAATGGTCTTCACTGTCGGTGTCACTTGAATAATCGCTCTGGAACAGCAAGAGGAAGGGCACGTAAAGAGGACACTGATTAGAGGCAAGTTCTTATTGCCTGCCCCTTTTGGATCTGCGGTCATTTATTTAAAGTTTGCTATATAGCCGGGATAGCTTAGCTGGTAGACGATGAGGCTCTTGATCTCAGGGCTGTGGGTTTGAGCCCCACAAAAGATTCCTGCACTGCTAGGAACTGGATTAGAAGATCCTCAGGATCCCTTTCAACTCTACTATTCTATATCTTAAGAAGATATCTTTTTAAAATAACTCACGAAAGTTGAACTGAGTAGCCAAAAGCTTCTTAAAAACTAGCAAACCTTATTAATAATACTGTTGTGAATTGGCTGCCCTGACCACTGGGAATAAGCAATCGGAACCTTGACAAAAATGTATTCTTTCCTAGCGACTGGGTGCTTTCTCAGATGAGCGTGGGTGTGGTCTCAGGTGGGTGCTCTGCAGTGGGAGGGGGTGAATTAGTGAAACAGGCAGCTTGCCTCAGACCTGGAAGAAAGACAGCTGAGAGTCTGTAGCTGAAACCGGGGATATGGTTTTGTGAAAGCTGCACAAGTTGCCCTCAGAGAATCTGCGGCCTGTTTTTAAGAGTCTGCTTGCTTCTTATAGGCTCTGCTTTATTTATCTGTATCTAGCTATATATCTAGGCTAACATTATAAAGAGTCCTTAAGGCAGTTGGATGGTGCCTTGTACGCCTCCTTCCGGCAACTCCTGCAGCCAAGCTGGTGCCAAACATGTTGCTCTGCTTTCCTTTGGAGCACATCAGGACCTTCAGGCTTGCACCCTGGGGCTGGTCCCTTCAGTGCTGCTACTGCAGCAGTTTGACTACACACACACACACACACACACACACACCTGCTGCCAAGGTGCACTCCATTGTGTCTCAAGATAGGCTGTCTTTGTCATTTCTTGCTGGGATCTGTCTAAGTCTGCAGTGTGGTCTTGTTCAAAGAAAAGTAAACACTGGCTGTAGACAGTGTGTAGCACATTTCAAATGTTAAAGGCAGGTCAATATCATGATTATGTAATATGAATTGGGGCAGGTAAGGTAGAGACTGGTGGTTTGTTAAGGCTACCTATTGAGGAGTCTCTCCTCTTTCATCTGCCTCAGGCCCTCTGTAAGCCAAGGGACCTGTGTGAGTGATTATGGTGATCCTGAATTTCAGAGGTGGGCAGCATCCCAAGTAAGCCATCAAGTTCAGACAGAAAGTCCCCTAAACCTAGAGAAGGTGGTGTAAAGCCCACAGGCTGCATTCAGTTGTCCTTCCCAGGAAAGTTACACCCTCCCTTTTCCCAGAACCACCAACACACGGATGAGTCACCACATGGCAGCAGCAGAGGACTACATGGATCATAAGGTTGCCACTTTGTGAAATGAAAAACAACAACACTGGGAGATGGTTTGGTTGCAGTAGGAAGGAGGCTTCTGAGTCACAAGGCAGGTCCCAAAGCACATCCATCTGATGAAGCCTAGTGCACTTAGCCAGGTTGAAGAACTGTTGAGAAAAACAAGCTTGCTCCGTTCATTTCTGGGAATTGTCCCCAAAGCAAAAAAACCCCAACAGCCAGGCATTTTTTCCCTAATCAATTGGCAATGTTAATGTTTCAAGGGAAATTCTGGGAGGGCTGATGACCGTTTACTTCTATTCCAGAGAGTTCTAGAATACATTTCATTATCTGGGGAAGGTAAAAAAGGTAAAAGTAAAGGACCCCTGGACGGTTAAGGCCAGTCAGAGGCAACTATGGAGTGTGGCACTCATCTCGCTTTCAGGCCAGGGGACAGCTTTCCAGGTCATGTGGCCATCTGTCACGGATGCTTTAGCTGAGATTCCTACATTGCAGGGGGTTGGACTAGATGACCCTTGGGCCCCTTCTAAGGCTAAGATTCTATGATTCTAAGAAGCCAGGGTTAGCCCGCTATATGTGGGGCTATGAGAAAGTATTTGACCAAAAGGGGAATGCAGTCAGGCTTCATCTTTATGATTAGCATTATTTAGAACTTGCACATTAATCATGGCTGCTTTTGGAAAAAGAAAATGGGGCACATCACAACCACAACCAAGCTCTTTTTAGTTGTCGTAGCTTCTCAATGGCAGAAAGCTGAACAGATGTTCTTAACATTCTACTCTATGTACACTTTCTCCTCTCCCCTGTTGAATTAAGTCTGTTTGCCCTCCTAGGCAGGCGGTTTTGTGGACGGGCTCTGAGCTGCTCTAGTGAACCAGCGAAGAGCAGGCAGGAGGTCTTGGACGTTGCCCTGGGTGCGGGACCAACTGACCAACAGGGGCACTTGGACAGAATAAACTGTGGCCTGCCAGGCTAATTGACCTCTTCCTTTTGTTGGAACTTTGTGCAGCAGTGGATCAAGGGATGAGACTCAGCTGCGGATCCAGGAGTGGCTTCTGTCCAACGCTCAGACAGGGGCTAGGGCCATACCACTCCTCAAACAGGGACCTCTTGGGGGCACCCCTATCTGATGTAAGTCATAGGGTGCCCCCACCCCCAGTTGGGTTTACCATCAGACCTCCAACAGATGGGCTGGAGTGGATTAGTGGTGGCTTCACCCAATGCCTATTGCCAAACCTTCACATCTGTAACCCATAAAGCTGTGGCCTTAATTTACCCCATAAATCATTATACCGCGTTTCGACTGGTTTTTTCACCTAGGGAATGGGGTGGTCTCAGGGCCTTGGCACACGAAGGTCAGGTTATGTTTTGCATCTGGAGAGGCCTTTAGGTGCAGTGCACCAATAGCCACCTTGTATGTTCTTGCAGAAGGAATTTAATTTGCTGCTCTGGACTCTGTCTGGAAAATGAAGACTGGTTTGTTCTATTTCATCTCTTGCAAAGGTAAAGCCAACAAAGACCGTGAGGTTTTTTTTAAATGACGTCTATACTATAAGATTCCACCACCATACTGAGTGAATTCTGTAGACATTCAATTGGCCCAGGCCCAGCAAACATTTGCTGCGGAAAGAGAGACTTTTGGATAAAAGAGCATGGCAGCTCAAGTGAAAAGCTCAGTGCACTGACACCGCCCATGAAATGTTAATCTAACTTTTCATAATTCAGAACTTTGGTATTCAATATTTCTCAAATCTTAACATCTATCAATCAGCAATAAATGGCTGAAAGGAATACTAATTTATTCATAATCATTTGAGGTTGCAGCCATTATTCAGGCATGGCAGCTTCAGAATGGCCATAAATAGTTTAGTGCCTGAATAAAGTTAATCTTCAGCCCCCCTTCCTGATTTGCAGTGCAATCCTGT